GTTTAGGTTTGGGATTTAGGGTTTGGGGTTTAGGGGTTAGGATTTTGCAGTTTTAGGGTTTACAGGTTTATTGTTTTGGGGTTTAGGGTCTAGGGGCACTCGGTAGGGTTTAGAGGCCTTTAGGTGCTTAAGTTTTGAGGGTTAATAAGGGTTCTGCAAGAAATCTACTAGGTTTAGGGCTTTGGTTTAAGGTTTAGGCCTTAATACGCGGAATAAGTAGACTACTTAGGATGTCGAGGGTCTAGCATAGCATAGTATAGCATTAGGAAGGATTGAGGGTTCTACAGGGGATCCATAAGCGTTTTGGGTTTCAGGGTCCAGGGCTTGCGGTCTAAAGTGTACGTTTCAGTGTTCAAGGTTTAAGATTCGAGGCATTGGGGACATATGGTTAGCATAGTGGGTTGGGAGCTCAATATAGAGGTCTTAAGAATGACCAATCTGATTCCTTAGCGTTCCTTCTTATAGCTATACTCTAAAGGAGCCCAAAACCCGATTCTAATCACTAAGGCCCCTAAGGCTTAAGAGTCTTGGTGGGTAGGGTTGAGATCTGCGAGTTTGAGCTTGGGGACCCTCAGTCTTCTTGTTGAGGGTCTTGTGTCCCTAAACCCTAAACCCTAAACCCTAAACCCTAAACCAACCAACCAACCAACCAACCTAAAACCTGGCCCAGGTACTCAAAGAGCACCACAGGTCGGGAGGTGGAGACTGCAGAAATAGCAAAGACCGAAACTGCCGAGGATTTGTGAGTCAAGGCCTGCATCCTGAAAAAAAGTAGAAGTAGCAGTAGTAGTAGTAGTAGTAGTAGTAGTAGTAGTAGTAGTAGTAGTAGTGAGGATTTGTGAGTCAAGGCCTGCAGGATGTTTTCCTCTACACGGTCTTGTGGAGACATTTGTCACGGCCGGGTGTGTATGTGGACTTGGCTGCACATGACTTCCGCCCGCTGGCTGCACATGGAGGGCTTCCTCAATCTACGGGTAATATAATGGCCTTAATAATTACCTATACGAAATTTGGGGGCTCCTTATTATAATTATACAGTATAATATACCCCAAAATTCTATACTGGCCCCTACATTACTTTTTTTTTTTTTTTCCGGTCCTTCTGGTCGTAGGAATCCTCTAGCTTTCGGTCTACGGTCTACATGTCTTGAGGCGCATTCTTTCCTGAAATTTCCACATCGACCTGAAACCTTTTAGGGTTTAGGGTTTAGGGTTTGGAGTTTAGGGTTTTGGGTTTTGGGTTTAGGGTTTAGTGCTTATGAGCCTTAGCTAAGCCTTGAGCGTGAAAGTTGGGTGCAGAAGGCCAGACATTCCAGCTGTGGATTTCAAGCGAGACAGCAGAGCTACGTATCAGGCTTCTCCCATGCCAATCCTCATGAAAACAGAAGCATGACTTCGGGGATGTTGCCGAGATGATGGTGATGCTGGCGCTCCCTTCCAAGCGACCGTAGTTTAATCCGTAATATTCCTGAAGTGATGGTAGGGATCTTTAACAAGGCTCGCAGTAATATTTTGTTCCCATTTTGGCCGCCTCTTGATCAAACCCAGTAGCCTGACAACAGGGCACCCTTTATTATCCAGGTGCTATGCTGGTTAACTTATAAGTTACGAATTATCCCTAACCTTACAAGTTGTAGATTGGTTGGTGGATGTTGGGGTCTCTGGGACACCATACCCAGGGGAGTTTCCAGACGCCCAGACATCCCAGAGCCCTGCACCCCAAATCCAGTACAGAAGCCTGAGCATCTTACGATTCTGTGCCCCAAAACCCTGGTCTAGCTATCAAGGCCCCGATATTACAGACATTATGGAGCTAGCACCCCGACATTTAAGTAGATAGTAGGGGCCTAAACCCTAAACCCTAAGCCCTAAAACGCTAAACCGTTTGGGGTCACTGCCGGATCCTTGAGGGTTCGCGTGTTTTGCCGAAGTAACTCGATCCTCAGTCGGCAGCTGTGGACGACCACCAGGAATGCCACCAGTAATTAGCGAGGCGAGGAGGAGTCAATGATAAGTGGTACTTGGAGGATCATGGGA